TTTGTTGTCAGTTATACCACAAGTCTAATATCAAAGTGACAGCCTGCTTAATTTTTAGCAGAAAGCCCTCAATATTGAAAATTTCTGATTTCATTGTGAAATTGTGTACGAATAATAGTCTAGGCTCTTCAAATAGTGCCCCGCAGACAAAATAGTCTTTCCACCTGTAGTGGCCCAATGGCCATGTCGGACATTACGTCCACTGATCTACTCCAGTTCTAGTTTATACAGGTTCTAGATTTCATGCTTACACGTGCACAAAAAAAATTTTTGATGCAAAGAGTATTACATGTTAATGCTGAGAGGAGGAAAAACCTATTTGACAAACTGGTAAAGGTAAATTAAGAGATGCTCATTTTTCTGCCATTCTCCAAATGGAGACCTGAAACTGAACTATGCTGTCTGAGCTATTGCATGATAAAATTTTAAATAAAATGTGTAGGCAGAACAATTAAAGTATGCTAAAATAAGCTACCATCAACTGATTACAGTCAGGTATTCCTTAGGCTTCTTTATTACCAGAAAAGCAAAATTTTTCCACTGACAACAAACACCGTGGAATTTCATCCCAGCCAAAGTTTCCACACTGCAGTAGCTTCAGTGAATTCAGAAATTTATTTCAGAACTCAGAATTTTATTCAGAAATCAAAAAGGGAAAATTTGTAGGATTGGGACCATAACTACTTTTGGAAAAGAGATTGAAAAATTACAAAAACACATTTCAAAATATTTTCAAGAATTTAAGGGAATTGTCTTGTTACCACTGGTTGACAAGCAATGAACAGTTCCAGCGTGGCAGCAGAGATTTGAACATAAGAGCCAGTGTAGGCAATTGGTTCCCAGTGACAAGGTTCTCCCTGTGGCAGGCTCACTGCTGGGCACTAAATCTTCACTGCAGACCTTACAGGTTGTGCCTTGCCCCTCCCTAAGATGAGCTCTCAGGTTTTGTTCCCTGCGAATCTGTTTCTCAAGTGCGTCAGCTGTGGTGGTGAGGGTGATGGAGTCACGAAATACCTTTACTGATAGGACAGTGCTCATTATTTTGTCCTCGCCCTTTGGGAGTCAGAGTTCAAATCGGCTGAAACTGTTTGACCTGGCTCTGCCTTCCCAATGTTGCAAGTTGAGGAAGGTTGGACTTCAGGTGGACAATGCATGCCGGAAAAGGCAAAATCCTCACTGTTCATTGTGATTACTTTTGCTGAACCATTTCTGTGGAAGAAGAGAACTACAGTCAAGGCAGCATCTTCAAAATAATGCATTCAAGCAAAACCAAAACAAGGCTAAAAAATAAAGTGGAATTTACAGCTGCACAAATAAACATGATTTCACTTCACCTCGTCACACATAAAAAATGAAAAGTAATAACGTTAGTAGAAAGAATCGGGCCTGATTTGATTTTTGTTTAACATATGAATCAAATGGAGACTTTGTGAATGTAAGGGCAAGAGGTTAAACATCACAATAGGCACAGAATTGATAATCTCTATCAAATTGGACACTGCAATACATCCTGTCAGATTAACCGATCTCAGACCCAGGTTATGTGGAATAAATTCCTAAGTGAACCTTGGTATTCACCCAGATCCTAAAAGATGTCATTACATTTTCTCTCGATTTGGAATGACTTGGAATGTGGTTGGTTTTTCTTTTGAAACTAAGTTTTGTTTTGTCTTTAAATGGTTAAAACAAAAAATAGGAGTCGTGCCAACCACCAACTATAATCACACTTCATTATGAAAGCAAAGAATGTGCCATGCAGTTCTGAAATGGAGAATAAATATGAATGAACTTCACATATTAATCTTCACTTCAATGGGTTTGTTATCAAGGCACAGACACTCTCGCATTCAGCTTTCCCAGCTCCTCTCATCTGTGGTTGGCCTTCCCATCCAAGAGGCTTTAGCTGTAGACCCTCCTCAGCCTCAAGGAGTTGTCACCTTTATCTGTCATCTCCAAATCACATATCGCTCTATATGCAAGTTTCAGAGGAGAGATGGAAATGTCAGGGGTTAGGCACTTTCTTGAGAAATGGGTTTCAGCCTCAAGCAGGAATAGAGTTCCCATGGCATATAAATATCTGCTCATGTATAAAGAGCAAGGTATTTATTCATGCCCAAGAGGATGGCTTAGTCCAGGAAGCAACTTGAATCCAGAAGAGCCTAGTTAAGGCATATGCTTCCCACATGACATAGTGCAAATACCTTCGTTAAGCACCTCGCTTTGTGAATGCTACACTGTGGATACAGCAGAATTTCTGAGGCACCTCAAAAATATCTGAAAGGCCTGATTTTGAAGCATTATTGGTATCCCTGTGTGCAATCCACCGTAACCCAGAGTGGATCAGCGTACGGTCAGGGCTTCAAATGCCACAAGCACGACTGAATAATCAGACCTCTGCATAATGCTCCATGTTGCACATAATACACATGAAATAATAGCGTCAGGAGAACTCCCAGATATTTACTGCAAAATACCAAAATATTTCTCAGCATTTACTTTGTAGTACAAGGAAAAACATTTCCTTTTTTCTTCCTCCTGGGCATGTAACCCAAGATACACCGTACAACATCAAGAGCACTAGAAGCTCAGATCCTTTTAACTAAATGAGCATGATATCTCTTATAAGTTCAGCAAGAGGTCTGGCTCCCTGTCCACGTTGTTTACTGAGATGTAACACTTGTAGACATGTCCAGAACGAGCCATACTCTAAATCAGCTGACAGCAAAGTAATCGGTTCAGAGACCCAGGTTAAATATCTCTTTGCACCTCAAAACCACATAGTGAAATTCAAACAAAAGCTGTTAAAAACAGGGAAGAGGAGAAAAAAAAAAAAAAAATAAAAGCTTTCCTTTCCTGTCACATGATAAATTAGATCCTAATGTTTATCCAAGCTCAGCAAAACAGCAACCTCTTCCTGCCAGCGCGTTTTGCACGGCGAGGTGTCGGGGTCAGGCTGCCTTCCCTGCCGGCAGCGTGGCTCTGAGGACAAACACCTGCTGGCACCCGCTCGCCGTGACAAGGAGCTTCTCACCAGAAGGCAAAGGAGCAACACGCTCCTCCGTCCCTGCTTCACAGCAGTGCGGGGTCGCATCCACTGCTTTCTCTGCCCACAGAGTGCTTAGTGGTTCATTTGTACCAAAATTTCCTTCGTGAGCCTCAAAGCCACCCTACGCTAGCACAAAACCTCCACTGAAAATAGTCCAAGATAGCCTACGCTTTTTGTCGAGTGAACGGTACCTTATTTACTCCTTGTCCTTTATAGATGACTTAATGACTTATCAGCAAAATGCATTTTGAACACATTTCAGGCATTTTATACTGAAATGAATAGATGAAAGAACAGGATTTTTGCCAGCAGCGCTGATTATTCTTTTGTCAGTAGATAGACGTGACCTGAACTGTTCTGTTACCGTAACAAATGTCTCCAGATGTTGCTAGACAGAAGAGGCTCTTTGCCTGAGGGAGAGGGAACAAGAGGGGAAGATGGCTGGAAGGTGGCCTATAGAGAAGAGGACGGAGGTAATTAATGGTTATGCTCGTGTATAAAGATAAGTGCACTAGTAAATGTGTCAGCCCTTCGGCAACGGAGGCCATGACTTCTAGAAACCGTGCCTTGACATAGTTCTTCTTTACATTGACCTTTTATTTATATAATATGGGTCTACACAGATCTATATTGGATTTAGGCAGGTGTAAATCAAATCAGAATTGACTGTGCTGAAATTTCAGAGGGTTTTGAGTTTGATTTAGTGCATCTGATAGGAAGAAAAGCCTCCACAAAACACATAGGAAACTGGAGACATGCAGAAAACTCTTAAGAGACCAGATGAACTTACGCTATTTATTTTAATGGGAATCATACCTATGTCAAGACCTTAAATATTTTCCAAATTTAGCTGCTATTCCTGCAACCAAAACCGCATATGCCCACTCAAGTACAAACCCAGCGACCTCAAAAAGGTTTTCAGCTTAGTTTCAGCTTCAGTTGTGCAATTTGCAGCTCAGAATTATTGCAACTTTGTCTTTTTTGGTACGGATTTACAGCAGCAGAAATGCCCTTGAGCTAAAAAGAATTTCTAAAGCAAAGTATCACTTACTTCAATCTGAAGTGAGATATACCCCTAATATTTGATGCAAACATACTCTACACTAATGGTATGTACCGATTTCAGCACATCTTCAAATAGCTTTCTTGGAACCATAATGAAAGATACCTACCTAAAGGTGCATTCAGTTATTATTTCAGGGCAATAGGGTTGTGCATTATTTAGCTACATTTTTTTTTTAAAAGAATACTTTTAGGAAAGGCCAGATTCATGTGGCATAGCTGTGAATAATATTGGAAGAAGAAACTGTCTGGAGTCAAGATTTCAGAACCAGCTGTGATAACACAGCTCCTGACTAACTAGAACAGGTTTGGATACATTCCACCTGGCTGACCACCTACATCACAAACCCATTTACCCTCAGTTGCCTCTGTAGTCAGTGGAGCAAGAGAGCCGCTCCATGGGAGTGACTCAGATCTTTGGTGTGGTCCATGAATCACCCTGCTCGAGATGTTTGTCTCTTTGCATTGACTACAGAGGGAGCCTAGGGCAGCCGGACTCCTGCTGGGGGAGCTGCAGTTAGATGTCTAAACCAGCATGAGATGAATCTGGGCTGGGATGCTGGATATGTGTGAGAAGCAGCACTGCTTGTTTGTAGGAAAGCAAGTAAAATTAATTTGAATGTCCACAGAAATAAGCAGCGCTGTTATCAGCTTCATTGCTTTGGATTTAGCAGCCCAAAGTTTGTCCCTTTTGTTAATTTTAACTGGTCCGTAATTAAATCACTGTATTTGCAAGACTGGAGCCCAGAGCTTCAGAGCCATGACAATCTCTCAAGATATGTAAAAAAAATCAATTCCCAAGAAAAAAGAATGATGTTATTTTCATTCCAAAACACCTTGTATATGCATGCACTGATCCCAGAGTGAGCTCTATAGACATTTAGGCGTTCACCTGTTTATTTCACAAGACCCCAGGAGAGAATGGGAGCTGGTTTCTATGTGGATCATTTCAAAATTGAGGCGTCAGCTTTTAGAATGTTTTGGGACCTGTTAAGAGGAAAAAAAAAAAGATTACGTGATTTTAATAATATATGCAATGAGCTTTATAAATAGTCTGACCAGAGTAAAAAGGATTCACATGTGAAGTAACATCTGTTCCTGTAAAACAGCATTTGAAGGAAAAAAAATAGTTTCTTTTCACTTTGCTATGCAAAGGCTCCTACTGTTTCAAGTGGCTTTGGAGTGGGCACTAAGCAAACTGGGCCATGATTTCTATGTACTTGGGATCCTCTATTATTAGTCCTTTATACTGTAGTAGATAAAAGCATTTAAAAATAAAGAGACCTCATATAGCACTTAAGCCTATTTTTAATCCTTAACTGACTAGATTTCAAGTGATAACATGCTTTTCACTACACGCACATGGCCTGCATGAAAGTGTATGCAGCAATCTCTGCAGCCCTTGGAATGAGAAGTTTAGGGGATCCAGTGCAATTAGCATGCATAGCCAGAGAGTCTAAATACGAGTAATTCTCCTCTCAACTATAAAGGCTGTGTGCTTTAGTAAAATCTCCTCCATCAACTTTATTAATCGTCACGTACAATACTTATATCTTCCAGAGAGAATACCTCATTCTCCTGAGTTTTCACAGAATCACAGAATCAGAGAATGGCAAGGGTTGGAAGGGACCTCGGGAGATTATCTGGTCCAACCCTCCAGCTAAAGCAGGTTCACCTAGAGCATGTAGCACAGGACATTGTCCAGACAGGCTTTGAATATCTCCAGAGAAGGAGACTCCACAACCCCCCTAGGCAGCCTGTTCCAGCAATTTCTCAATTATACAGCTGAAGTTCAACTGAAGTGGCCAACTTCTGCATCCCCTTCTAGAAAAAAAATATCCGGTGTTCAGAACAGAGCAAGACACATGCAGCTTCAGACAGATAGCACTGAACAATACTTACACTGGAAACTGAAGCTAATGCGGCCATAATTAATTATATTAACCTCCTGTTTGATATTGGCATAACATGGCTTTCTGTCTGTCCCAAAGACACAAGTGCCAAGTCCCAGATGAGGCTTGGCTTTGTGTGTACAGCGGTACCCATGCTACAGTGGTGTGCACAGAAACTCGCGGCAGAGCGGCATCCCAGAGACGGCAGCGGCAACAGCAGGGATAACCGTGGAAAGGGACTCTGGCCACCCATACCCTCACACAGACATTTCTGAGCACAAACAGCACAGTTATTCTGCCTGTGCTAACTGGAGTCAGACTTTATATAAAGCAGGTTGTGCTTCTTGACCGATCCCTGTGGGTCACTCCTCTGAGTTCAAGCATCTTACAGGAGGGTGTTTATCTTCACCTGAGGTTTGATCCAGCGTGTCCTCAGCTGCCATCAAGGTCTTCATGTGTTCATCATAGCTACCAACAAAAGATTTGTCCCTGTGTTGTGCCAGATAATACTCTTAGTCACTCGAGGGTTTTTTTTTTGCCTATTTCTGTTTGCCTGAATGCCCTGTTCCTTTGTATGGAGGTATTTACATAGCTTTTATCAATTACAACTAATTAAAGCTGGCAGCTATTAAATAAGAAGCCATTTACAATCTAGATGCTGAAAGTAATATTATATGGCCTGTAGCTTGCAGGAGAAAAAAAAAAAAAATGAGAAAAAGGCATGAAAGGTAGCCCTCTCCCTGCTCTTGGTTAAGAAATCATTATTTCTAGGAAGGTGGACAAAAGCTGAAAAAGCCTTGTCACTGTCTTTTCCCTAAGCCACATCAATTAGTTAATCCTTAAACAAAGTGAGAATAATAGTAATAAATAAAAAACCATTTAGGAAATGGCTGAAAGCCACGTGCAAGATACAAAGGGGAATAACTCGTAACAGAAAAAACAGCAGACCTGACATTGTTCATCTGTGTCACAACAAGCAGGGCAAATGATTTATTTCAAAGCTGAATTCCTTGTTCTCCTGAACACAGTTCATATTAAAGACCCTTTGACCATACCATCTGTTTGCATTGTAATCCACATTTAAAAGAGTCAACATAAATATTGACTCACGAACAGGTTCTAGATTAGGCCTGTATCTTAAGCTGTCACGATACACTTCAGCCTTTGCGCAAAGAGCTAGAAGAGTATTGGTCACTTTTTCCTTTCATGTTACATACAAGTCTAGCCAAGCCAAGGTGAGATTAATTTGCCAGTTGCAGTCCAGTGAACTGCTGCCCTTGCCACAAAAGCCATCGAGGAACTTGAAACCAACTTGTTCTTTGTTGTTTTTACCTGTGAGACCAAAGATTGAAATGGCAGGGACCCACCTGTCTTCTGCCATAATCCTTTAGGGGCACCATGAAATTGCACTCAGCACGAGAAGGAAGGATTCTTCCATTCACTTTGGTCAGGTATATAATTTCCAAACTGCACTGTACCTGTTAAATCATTTCTTTGGTGTCTACAGCTGCTGCCTGCAAGAGCAGAAGTTAACAGGGAAGAGAACAGAGGGTTAATGTTAGCATCACAGATTCTGTACTGACCCAAAATATTAGATGGAAGGAAAATGCTGAATATTACAGTAATCGATGACTGCTCTAATGTATACTAGGAATTAAGCCAACTCTTGCATTTAAATCTGCAACATTAAAACAAGGTCTTAAAATCACTTTGGCTCTGCCTAATCTTAAAGATGCAGTGGCTGCCCCTGAATTTGTCCTTAATACTTAGTGTTGGCCCAGAAATACAACACAGTCGCAGCTGTTTCTAGCAAAACTAGGGCTGATCCTGGAGATTGTCATAGGGATATATTTCTTTACAAAGATAGTATACAGCTTATAAGCGCTAGATGTAAGTTTGAGAAGCGCTATTGAGAAATAGCCCTCTCAGGAAAGTCTTGTTTTCCAGATTATATCAAATAACTTCACTTAAGGGTGTGTGTATGTATGCCATGTTATTGAATAACATGGCAGAAGTTTGATTCCAAAGCATCTTCAAGCGGTATACAAAGAGTAATGTTCCTTGCATAAGTATTCAGCATTTACCTGCTACATGGCCATGGATATTAATCTAATAAGGGGAATATTCAGTCTAAGTGATACAATGAAAGTAAGTTCTGCAGTACCAGATTTTTGCTGTAAACAGAACCATCAATTGTTATGCCGGCCAAAATCTGCAGCAACAATTTAAAGTTTTAGGTACCAAATCCAGTGATGGATCGGGTTGTTTTATCTTGCATTCCGCAGAAAGGTCAGGATGTCCAGTAGCTGCAATGGGGAAGGTTCTTGTCTCCCAATTTTAAGCACTCATAGAGATCGCATCTCATACCTGTCTCAGTTTGCAGGCAAAATGCTGCAGAAAAGCCTCATGGACACCAGTTAGTTCTTAGCAAGGTTTATGAGCATACAAAGGAAGGGTTTTTCAGCTCCTAGGGCTCAGTTTGGTTGCATGATTAGGGGATTTTTTGTCTGCCTTTAATAATGCCACTTTTGTGGTACCAAAATACGTGACCAAAGAAGCTGGCAGCACTCTTCAGCCAGCAGCTCCCCATTACTGCTCTTTGCACGGAAAAAGAGGAAGCTGCCGCTGCTGCTGTAACATTCGATGTGATAACATTTCAAAAACAGGATAGCCCTGCCCTGCTGACAGGTACTGTGGCAATTCCATCAGTGCCCACTTTTCCCTTGCTGAGGTTGTAGTATCCAATTTGAATACATTAAAAACCACTGGAACGGGCTGTCTGGATAACTAGGGATGATTCAAGAACTGTCAAAGTCCTCTTCAAACCACCAAGAAAAACCAGTGTTTGTCCTCCCTCAGGCTTGTGTGTTATAATTATTCAGCATTTAATGATGGGGGGGGTATGAGTTTGCAGGAGGGAGATAAGGGATGAAAGTAACCTTTTAAAGGAGAAAATAGGACAAGCCTATGGGGTACTCCAGGTACTGTTTAAATAAAAGAAACTGTGCTCTAATTTCTCCATCATTCTTTCTCTAATTCCTCTGAATTAGCCTATGGGAACTTCTCACACCTCGCAAAACAAATTGAGCTCCCCACAACTCAGACCTGAGCAACAGACATCAGATGCTGCTGGTGAGGCCTCCTCTGGCAGAAGAAGGCACAAGCCTACCTGAGTTACTGATTATTAAAATGGTCGCCCTTAAAAAAATCAGTTCAACCTAAATGCAAGCATCCCTAGTAATAGTACTCTACAAAACATTTAAGGATACCAACCTAGGAAATGCACTAATGGCATTACAACATGGGCAAAAGCAAACTCAGGATTCTCAAAGGTGTTGATATTAAAATTGGTTAAGCACTCTAGCTGTTTTTACAGTGGTAACTACTTTGAGGCTGTTGATCTGGACACTGCTGCAAACCTTAATTCACAGAGGTAAAGACAGGTGACATCTGGCTTTGGCTTTCACGCTACTCAGTAGCTTACCCAGTAGAAACGATCGCTGGAGAATCAGGAACTTCTAGGGCCAAGGATTTCTCACTCTGATGAGGATTCCCGTATCCATTCCCACTTTAAGCAACTTGAGTAGAAAGGAGGAGATATTCCTCGGGATAAAATCATGATCAGAGTATCTTATTGCCATGCTCCCGCTGCTTTTAGTTACCCACAGAGGCTGTAGGGAGCACAAGCATCAGTTGCGTACCCTGAGGAGCTCAAGGACTGTTTGGGATCTTGGCTAAGCACCAAAGCAGCTTGGACACCTTCCTTCCCCAGCATTTTATTCATGTACCAAATGCAGGATGGAAAACGAAAGTCCCATCCACAGAGTTACTCTTGCAATCAATGTGCACGGTTGCTCACATTAAGGTGCTGACTCATGTTACTGTTTTTATTACGTTAGTCTAACATGAAACTAAGGGGTTTAAATTCTTATTCACTCATTTGGTCTCATTCAGTCTCGCAAATAAAGGTTCAAAGTGAGTCAGGGCTGGAGCACTGATAACTGTTAAGTTCCAGGAAATAAAAGGAAAAAAATACTGCATGGACTGATGGGTATATAAATACAGCCATCTAAGCTGGCAATGTGCGCTGGCAGCCCAGAAGGCCAACCGTACTCTGGGCTGCATCAGGAGAAGCGTGGCCAGCAGGTCAAGGGAGGCGATTCTGCCCCTCTACTCTGCTCTGGTGAGACCTCACCTGGAGTGCTGCGTCCAGCTCTGGAGCCCTCTGCACAAGAAGGACATGGAAGTGTTGGAACGGGTCCAGAGGAGGGCCACAAAAATGATCCGAGGGCTGGAGCACCTCTCCTATGAGGACAGGCTGAGGGAGTTGGGTTTGTTCAGCCTGGAGAAGAGAAGGCTGCGGGGAGACCCGATTACGGCCTTTCAGTACCTAAAGGGGGCCTATAGGAAAGATGGGGAAAATCTTTTCAGTAGGGCCAGCTGTGACAGGACAAGGGGTAATGGTTTTAAACTAAACCAGGGTAGGTTTAGACTAGATATAAGGAAGAAATTCTTTACAATGAGGGTGGTGAAACACTGGAACAGGTTGCCCAGAGAGGTAGTGGAGGCCCCATCCCTAGAAGCATTCAAGGGCAGGTTGGATGGGGCTCTGAGCAACCTGATCTAGTTAGCAGTGTCCCTGTTGACTGCAGGGGGGTTGGACTAGATGACCTCTAGGGGTCCCTTCCAACCCAAAACATTCTATAATTCTATGAATATACTACTGTAACATTTAATATCTCTTAAAATTCACAGACCAGGTATGGAATTTGACATTTCGATTTAAAGAATCACACGTACTGTACAGAGATAGGAAGTTCTTTAGCATCAAAGTGCTATTTTTTTGTAAAAAGTAGAACGTGTTTTACAGAAAATTGTATGAGCAGGTCCACGGGGAATAACTTACTTAGATGGTATATAACAGAGCTGCAAGCAGCCATTAGCTAGAACCCTTGGTTGTTTTTAGCTCTAATTAGTTTTAATTCATCTGCATATATATTAGCTACTTCATGCAGAAACACGCAGTTAGACATACAAGTCTGAATTTTATCGTTCAAGTTGGGTACAGAAATGAAAGCACCATGTGCTAAACTGGTGGTTAGGAAAACCTTGAACACAAATGTCTTAATTTCTAGCCCTGCGCTCTCCCACGCGCCCTGTCCCAATAGGGCAGTGGAACCAAAAGGAGAGAATTCAGTCAAGAAATTTCATTTTACATTCCTGCACTCGGAGCTTGGATTTTTGCCACGGTCACCAACCGGAGACTGCAGCAAATCTCACAATTAGTAACAGCTTCCAAACATTATTCAGCTGCCTGGGCTAGCCAGAAGGCAGCGTGCCGCAGCCACATGCCCCATGTACTGCGGTTACCATGGGAATAATGGCTTTGGGGGTAATTCAGGCTATCCAGGGTTTCCCACATTAGGGATTTTACAGCCGGGAAGCTGTGACTAAATTCTGCTCACACTGAGCATAGCATAAAGAAAAAAAACTAAGATGTGGATCCCAGAAACCATGGGCCTGGATCTGCCAGGTACTGCACCCTTTTAATTTTCATTTTCTCCACAACTTTTTTTTTTTTCAAAATTTGGCAATGTGCCTAGAAGCGACAGGAAGCACCTCTCAGGGAGCCCACTGGCTGGGAAAAAAAAGATAAGCGTTTAGCTTGACTGTTCACATATTTAGTTCTTTTTTATTTAACAGATGTGGGAACCTATTCCTTAAAAAAAATTTTTTTTTTAAACAAGCATTAGAAATCTGAAAAAAATTGGGAAAAAGATGAGCTAATTTTGAGTAGAATTCTAAAGTGAAAAGCCTGTAAACAATCAAAACATCAAGACATTAATGACAAGAAAAGTTTTGTAGCTTAATTTTTATACCAAACCTTTCTCACAGTTTATATGCCCGCTGTACAAAAGAATCTAGTACCAGGTTTGCGTACGAAAATCACTTAAGAATCTTTGTACTGAAACGCATACATCCCTTTGGATAAATCTTTGCCACAGGTATTGTGTACGCTTGTGGAATAGCTGTTAAAACCCTTTTAAAAGTTAGACCACAACAAGAAGTGCTCACTTACTAAATTCTACATATTGTTTTTGAAGTTAATAGTCCTGCTGGGATCAATAAGAGTAACGGAATTAGGAAGTGGAAAAGACGACATTATAAAAATCATGAATATTTTTAATTGCAAGATTACTGCTTTACGTAAAAGTTCTGTAAAACCAGGCTCACCTGCAGATAAAATGCCTACCACAGGAATCCCAGCTGGATGGTTTTTACATCTCTGATGACAACGGTCCAATTTTATCTCTGTGTAACTTCACACAGCACAAGAGCCTGGTCCGAAGGCTTGGACACTATGAAGTAAATAAAAATGCCAGTTTGATGACTTTTTGAAACCTTAGACATACAAAGGTGGCATTAAGCTGCTTTCCTTAGCAAAGGTACTTAATTCACCGTATTGGAGATGTAATCCTCAAAACCTCTTTTACAGATGTTATTTTTTCTATACCAATCTCTTAGGAGTCTTTGAGAATACATACAAAAACCTTAACTTTGCTGCAATAGCTGGTTACTTTGAAAGCTGTCTTAAGTGCTGTGTCCGGCCAAAAACACAGCATTACCCTTTTCTTGGACAAACTAAACCCCAAGCTGAGAAAAGGGCAAGCTACATTGCCATCAACATGAGAAGAATTGTACACATAGCATATGTGGAAAATGATGAAAAAAGTTTTTGACTTCCAAAACTGATCAAAATCGCAGGAATTGCCAAATTTAAACTCAATCAGTATTACCAGCATAACATCTTCTAATAACGTGCATTACATACAATTTTACAGGAACAAACCTGTGTTACTTTATTTTTAGTCTGTTTTAAGAAATAAACGTGTAAAGCTCTCAAGAATGAAACAGTAGCAGAAATAGCTCTGTGAAGGAAACTTGTGCCTACTTAATCATTAAGAGTGCCTGTGAGTTAATTCCGCACAGATCCCCAAGCAGAAGTCCGCATTAATCTGTGCTTTCCCACCAGCTGAGTAAAGCTGTGCTTCCTTTCCTCTAAACCTACAATTCCCAGAACCCATTGAAAGACACCCTCTTAATGTTAAGTAATCCTCAGCTACAGAAATTTCTACAAAGACAGATTCTTCAGAAGTTCTTGAACCTTTGCCCAAAACTCCTTCCCCTCCCCCTCCCCCTCATCTCACCCACACAATTCCTATTTTTATGGTATACGGTTGACACAGTGAACTAGTTTCTATAATTCTACCAGTGTATCTGCAGTAAAAGCACTGGCAGAGAAAAGAAGAAATAAATCAAAGAGGGAAAACAACTTAGAAAAATATTTTCCATGCTGGAACACATTTTAAGGACATAGGTGATCCATGCAAGGAATGGGAAGAATAGCACAAACCACCTTTTGATAATTGTGAAGGAAACAAAGACAGTGATTAGAAATAAATTTAAATTGAAAAATATTCAACCAATAAGCCTGAAAAAAGAACATGTCGAGTGCCAGACAGAGCTCAGAGATACACCATGTGTTACAAAGCTTTTTATGTTAGACAATTAAATGAAGCAATTAGATTTCAGAAAGTAGCCAATTATTTTAGGACTGAAACAAAGGCTGGAGGAAATACAGCTGCCTGTGTTTGGGGAATGGAGAAAAAGGAAAAGAAAGCATTGCATTTGAAATATTCATGACAATTCTGTAGAAGAGGAATTTTAATTAACAGTCTAGAAAACTTTTAACTCAGTAATGAAAATAATGCAATTTAAAAAAAAAAACACCCTTAACATGCAATATGTAATTGATATTTTCAAAAATCATGGGAAATGGCAAGCAAGTACTGAGAGGGACTGTGAAACGATATTTGAAAACAATCCTCTGAACTGAGAATTCTCCCAAGATGACACTTCTTACACTCAACATGCTTTGATGTGTTGTTTTCTGAAGGCTGTAAAGAAACAAGACTCTCAAGAGAACAAAAGGAAAAGGTTTTAATAATTCCTCACAGGCAGATACGCTTGCAGAGAATCATAGAGAATTTGATAAAATGGATAATTAAGTTACTTGTCTTACGCATTCAAAGCTTTAAGTGCGCACTAACCCTTCAGTGCCAGTACATACTTCACAGAACGCCAAAGCCTCTATCAATTTAACTTCTGAACACATCCTGTAAAAGACTGAACAGGTTTAGAGTAAGCTATGTTTCTATTTAATTATAAAACAAATACAGCATCCTTACAACAGCATGAGTAGCAGAGGAAAAAATAAGGAAACCTGTAAGGGACTTTTACTCACAGAAGGCCTCTCTCCCATGCATACGCTGCACTGCGACTCAATTTTAGGCTGTTGAGGGCTGGCAGAGAATTTTTTTTCCTTACGCCTCCCTGAGTGAGGGCATTCAAATGCTACTCCTGCTAGGAACACTATAGCCTTTTTAGCACTTCTGAGGAATTCAGTGACAAAGCTTTTGCTTTTTTTTTTTGTTTGTTTTGTTTTTTAAATGTTCCAAGAAGCACACTGGTAACATAATGCCTGTTTAGCACCACTCCTTGCTTTAAAAGTGTCCTTAACATTTATCTTCTCCCAAATACAGATCTCATCATAGACAGCAATCCCGTAATATTAAGAAAACCAGATCAATTTCTTTTGTTTTTAAGGAAGTATTTTTTAATGAAATGCACAAAAAATTATACAATATAAAACTGTCATTTGAGTTATAAAAATGTGTATGAATCCAAAATACTTCATTTGAAAATAAAAGATTGTAACAAAATGTGTTGTAATCCAGTTAGCAAATTGCACACTTCTCCCTTACCCTTTCTCCCAATAAAAAGTTTTTGTTCCCTTTGTTCCATTTGATTTCGTTCTCACATTATCAACCTTTTAATCTCTAATCAAAACAGTTTTTAACTGGCCCTGAGGTTACCTGTACAGGTTGATGAAGTCCAGGTCATTGCTTTCGTATGCAGTAAAACATCCACTACATACAAATCCTTAAAGAAACAAAGTTTTTTATCTACTGAGGCAGAGTATTTCTTGTAGCTGATGAGCATTTTGCTACAAGTTATTCCTACTGCATCTTAAAATATCCTGGTTCTATGCAGTAGGCAGTAGACTTCTTTTCATATTCCAGAGAAACATTATCTTCTGTGAACCTGAAGACTTATTACAAGTGGATGCGAAAACCACGTTACTGGACAGATTGAACTTGGAACTGTTGCAAAGCTGTTTCCCCAAAAGCACAACTCATCTTCCTAACTTCACTTCTACTCCACTCTGCTCACAAAGATTGCTTAGAGGCATGAAGGAAAAAAGTCTGAAGAGATCATTGTCTTTAAATACGGTAGAATGACGACTCTTATCTGTGAAACAAAAACCTTCTGAGCTAGTCATTTAGCTGAAGTGCAGCACTGTATCTCCTACTGGAAGTCTGGAATTGACAAAATCGATAGTAACAAGTATTAGTAACTTAGTAGTGACTTAGAGAACTGTGCTTGCCCAAAAGGCAGACAAGTGGGAAGTATCTGTATTGCCTGTTGCTACTTTGCTTGTATGCAATCACTGTTATTTAATATACTACGATTAGAAAAATACTTGTGAGAATCATTTAAGGAAAAACCTTAATGAAAGGTAAGTTCATATTACAGCAGTTTCCATTAACTACAATTGAGTATTCAAGTGTCAAACCAGAGGCACCAACTGCAACAAAAACTTGAAAATTATCAGTCACGACATTTATGCAGAGTAGTGGTATATTATATGCTGACACCCGGCCTTCACAGTAATGGCACCATGTAAAAAGAACCTGAAAGGAGCTAGAAGTCACACAGGTACAGTAGCAAAAAAGAAGCCTCTCCTCTTCAAGTATCTATTTATGTAGTTAGAAGGATGTTTGCAGCAACAAACAATCCTACTCATCAAGCAATAATGATTTCAGAGAGCTTTTCCCCCTCACATAGGGGATAGTCCCCAGAGGCCTCTACAGCTCTGCATGTCTTACAGCTTGTGCAATTTTTCCAGCCTTAGGTTATGTGAGAAGGCCATTTTTTGAAGTCTGTTCCAAATTAAAGGTGAAAACTGAATCTGGTCGTGTTCATAAATCCTCTTTCCTCTGCGAGTTGCTTACAACCACTTTCAAAAAACGTAAAGGAAGGGGAACGAACTAAAAAATTGCAGAGGACTTGGAAGAGCCATTGGATCTGGAGTTACCTTTGAAGAGAACAAACCATGGGGAAAGACAGCTGATCTTCGCCAGATACCACTAGAGGGAAGTCAGTTACTATGTATTTGCTCTCAGTAGGCTTTCACACCCCTCCACTAAAAAGAAACCAGCTTTCTATGTTTTTGTTACAGTACACACTTCTGTTACCAAGAGCACAGAAAGCTGCAGCCTACTTATGACGTGAGCTGCAACTTCCAGCAGACATGACCAGACTCTGTGATACAGGTTATGAAAGGATTCCTAGCAAAGAATCTTAAAACATTCATGGCAGTAACAAGAGGCTGCTGTAAACATCTGTGACACACACACACCTTTGGTAGTTTTAGGAGAACATTTCTCTGATGATGAAGGCATTTGATACAGACATTTCATTTCAACACAGGCACATTTTCTGCCAAGAAAAAGACACCAGAGTAGTTACTAACCCTCCTGCACTGCAGTCTTATGGCCTGAGGTCAGAGCGATCTCAGTATCCTTTTACAGAGAGCAAATGTATTGGACCAATTATGGAAGATATTACCTTATGGTACTCAAAAAGAAAACCCAGTACACAGCTAAGAGGTCTACTCCTTCCCCCTTTCACACTAGAGTCATAACAGGCCACAAAAAAAGTAATCCAACCTCCCTGTGAAATTTTAAATTACAGTTGCCTCAGAAGAATCCCATTTTCAGAGAAGATATATCTGAAAAGTATTTGCAGTAAACCAAATCTTGTTTTCAGATGGGTAGTAGAACAAAAGTGTGAGCATTTCTACAAAATGGAGTTCAGGTTAGTTAAAATCTCTTAAAGGAAGCATCAAACTACAAAGCAGTACCTGGAAGGAATTTGCTTTTAGGTTAGTCTTCATTTGACCACAAATCAACCTGTTAAGGCACATAAATTAATGGCAGAATAGGTGACAGAACAAATGATTTTGCTTCAGAAGCATAGAAGGTACTTTTACTTTTTTCATTCATATCTGTGAGACACGGAAGTGGTTTTATATTGATTTCACCCGGTTCTAGTGTTCAGTAGCAAAAGCTTTTCTTCAACTTTGTCTGCCACCAAATTCATGTTACAACCCCGAAGAGCTTTTACTAAGTCAGTCACCTTTGCATCTCTTCCCTTCTGCCACTCTCGAAGTGACTGAAACACCTGTTCCCGCAAATTATATGGATTGGCTGTCATTATTCCGTCCATTTTCGCTTCAGAAATGCCAAGTTTTCGCATCAGCATTTTCCACTCTCTCCCGACATTTTCACATATGACTTCAATAGCCGCCTTCTGCAGACCTGAAATAGCAAAAATATATCAAGTTAATGATGGATTTACTATGAAATACGATTTAAAAAAAATCTGGTGGTTTTGTTGCTTGGGTTTTTTTTTAGCAAAATGCTACCACTCTTGCTGAATCACACACACACTGAAGATCATACCATATTTGAAAAGCTGCTGGATATACTTGGGATCCCAAGCACACAGCAGGATTTCCAAGTGACCACTTGAGAAAGAAAAGGAAGAAATTTCCATTCCGGAAAGCCGTTTGCAGCATATGCTGCCCTCACGGTATGCCTCCAGGGTACAACACGGTCCTGTGCAGCAGTCAGTAGCGGAAACACCCTTGGCAGCGGGCTCAGCTACAGCAGGCAACTGAGGGCAGCCATGCTCCGTGGTTGCTCTAAGCAGACCCAGAGCCAGAGGATGCATACAGGTCTACTGGGGTTGCTTTGAGGGGTGGGGAAGTGTGTGAGGGGGTGAAATTAAAAAAATAATCCACCTACGTTTTTCATGCACATCTGGCTGATCATCAGGAGCACTAACTTCTCTTTCCTCTTCGAACTGCTTTAGCCTCAAGACCAAATCTTCTCTTTTAATGTTCTTAAGCAAGTCTTCAAGAAACGATAAGTCATTCCTTGTAATCTGCTGCTGCTCAAGAAGGATGCTGAAGAGGTCCATGCCACTTTGGACAGACTCAAGCTTCCTTTTCCCAATATGCGGCCGGCAGAGAAACTTCATGGAAGAAAGCTCACCCTCCGACAAGCTCGAGGATAAAAAGTGCAGCAGAGGGTAAAACGAATCCATGGTGCCGAGGCCTACACCGCAACCCTCCGCCAGGCCCGGGGCGAGACCCAAGCCGCGCGAAAAGGCTGGCGGAACCCCGTCCCCGCCCTCCGGGGCGGGCTGCGCTCCTGTTTTCACAGAGCGACTTCTCGGGAAGCCAGAGAGCGC